TACTAACACCTTAACTTTTCTTTTATTAGGTCTTTTGTAATGAGCCCTTTATGGGTCCCCTGCCCCGTCTTAACTTTTACTGCTCCAATCCATATGCTCTAACCCATATGGAGCCACCATAGTGGTTCTCCATTGGGGATCACTTATTTCCCCGGGAAGCATTTGATGGTTTCTGGAGAATTCTTCGGTCTTCATGACCAAAAGGAGTGCTCATGGCAACTAGTAAGTGGAGGCCAGGGATTCAGCTTCACAACAGTTTTCTGGTTCAAAATGTTAGTGTTGTCACAGATGAGAAACCTTATGAGCTCCTCCTGACCTTTTTTTTTTTTTTTTTAAGATTGATTGATTGATTGATTGATTTATTTATTTATTTATTTATTTATTTATTTATTTATTTATTTATACAAGCACTAGGTACAGTCAGAAGCACGGGAGGTTGAGAGAATTTACGAGAGCCAGAGCGGGGAGCAGAGCAGGCAGAAGGACTGAAGTACACTGCTGAGGGGAGCAGTGGGCGGCAGGAGAGGTCTGCGCGCCATGTGGGACCCTCCACCAGTGGCCAGGGAGCAGCCGGGGATCGAACTGGCGCTGCAGAGGCTACGGGCAGCTTCGCAACCCAGTGCTCAACCACTGCGCCACCGGAGAGGCCCGACCTTTTTTTTTTTTTAAATGATTTTTTTTTAAAGATTTATTTTATTTATTTATATAAGCACTGGGTACAGTCAGAAATGTGGGAGGGTGAGAGAATTCACCAGAGTCAGAGTGTAGAGCAGAGCAGGCAGAGTGATGAAGTATACTGCTGAGGGGAGCAGTGGGCGGCAGGAGAGGTTTGTGTGCCATGTGGGACCCTCGCCCTGTGGCTGGGGATTGAACCCGTGCTGCAGAGGCTGCGGGCAGCTTCAGAAACCAACGTTCAACCGCTGCGCCACCGGGGAGGCCCCCTCCTGACCTTTTTGATGACCTGTCAGGCACGGTGCTTAATATATGACTTCATGTGATGCTCTAGTCAACTTTGTTCCTGCACACACATGCAGATCACACTTCTGGAAGACCATCCACTCCTCTTTGTGGTTCACTGTCTTATTCTTTTTTTACTTTTTTAAAAAAGATTCATTTATTTTGCATACAGGCCAGAGGTGCAGAGGGTGAGGGGATTCACCAGAGACAGAACAGGGAACAAAACAGGCCGACTGAACAAAGCACACTGCTGCGGGGAGCAGCAGGCGAGCCAGGAAAGGTCTGCTGCACCATGTGGGTTGCTCCTGGTCAGCTGGGGATCAAACTCGTGCTACAGAGGCTGCAGACAGCTTCACAGGTTGTATTCTAACCCCTTGTGCTACCAGGGAGGACCTCTCTTACCCTTTAAACATAGTTACCCACTCCTTGCTCCAACAATCTAGGCAAAGGTATATACACCTGAACTGAATTCCCACAACACTTAATTCATTCTTTAATATAAAAATTTACCTGTTTGTATGTCTATTCCAAACTTGAAGAACAAGACATGTTATTTATGCACCCCCTTCCTACCTTAGCACAGTGTCTACTAGGGATTAGATATCAATCACTGAATCTATTTGTGAATATAATTGCAGTATTTGTAGTAATGGGTAGGTTTCTTCTGAATACCTGTTGTATTTAACTTTTATAAATTAAGTCACATTTAACTTTTATAAATTAAGTGACATTTGAATTCAATAGGAGAATTTGCATTTAAGGGAGAGCTGCATGAATTCTTTGGTCTAATAACTTTTTATTTTAATTATATTTTTATAAACCACAGAGTTTTTGTTTCCCCTATTTCATGTTTCTTTCATTATTTTTTAATACCAAAAATGATGTCAAAGCACGTATCTGCTTTTCTTAAAGTGAGAGATGTCAATCAAAATTTTAGGCATAACATTAGAGTACCCCAGTTGTTTGGAAAAGAGAAGCCCTTATCACTGTAGGTAATGTCAGTATTATGTTGAGAATATGAAAAAATAGTTCTTTTCAGCTTTGTCCACCAGAGGGAGGATATCCATTTTGTTGATTCCTTGGAATTGGCTACTGTTGGGTCTGCTTGGAGTTAGAGATTTATGTTGTTCCTGCTGCTACAAAATACAGATTTAGAGCCTGGCAGGCATTCCTGCGTAGATTTGTGCATGGCTTAAGATCAGCCTGGTTTGGGTGGAGAGGAAGCAATCTGTGCATTTTGGAAGCTTTGTCAGAATAAAACACACTTAAGGAGTATGTGAAACTATTGCTGTATGAGACAACAATACAGAGGGTTGTACAGAGAGAGAGAGAGTGAGGAAATGATTATTTAGTGGTATTTTGTTTACAAAGTTGGTCATAAGAGTGTCTTGTTTCCATGGGCCATGGCCATGGCTGTTGGAAGTCAAGTGCAGAGTCAACATCATATGCTAAGTGCGAAGTGAGAACAGAAAAGCACAAAGTTATTTGTTCACAATGCTCCCTCTCTGTGCGGGGGCTCCCTGCATTTGTTGGGAATATTATCAGTTGTGTTGTCTATGACTTTAGTTTTGATAATTTCCTGTTTCTTTGGGGATAGATATACTCATTTCATGATGAAAAGCAGCGGGAAGATGATGGGGAAAATTTCTAGCCAGAAACTCCCTCTTTCAAATTAAATAAACAAAAAACACCAGTCAAATAATCATTTACTCCATGTAAAGAAATGTGGATGGCTGAGTGTCATAAATCTCAAAAAGTGGGAGCAAGACAAATATTTATGAAATCAATCAAGAAGAATGGCCAAGCATGATGAGGCTGCTGGCTCTGCCTGTGCTCCTCAGGTATAATTCTGTGCAGTTGACAAAAATATGAGTGTTATCCTAATATTTTGTACAGGGAAATAGACTGAGTGCCATCCTCACTCTCAGGTTGAAACCTTCTTTTCTTCCTATCCACCCACTTTCCACTTCCCCTCTGGTAAACATTCTGTTTTTCACAGAATCTAGGAGTTATTTTTGTTGTCCCTTGTTAGTTCAATTTGGGGGGGGGAGTTATTTATATTCCATGTATAAGAGAAACCATCTGGTAATTGTCTTTCACTTTCTGTCTTATTTTGCTTATCATAATCACCTCAAGTTCTACCCTGTCACTAAAGATAAGATTTTCTAATATTTTTTATTTTTAATTTTTTAAGATTTATTTATTTATGCATATAAGAACAGAAGTACAGGCCAGAAGTACGGGGGGATGAGAGGATTCACCAGAGTCAGAGTGGGGAACAGAACAGGCAGACTGACTGATAAACACTGCTGAGGGGAGGAGCAGCAGGCGAGACAGGAGAGGTCTGCTGCGCCATGTGGGTAGCTCCCTAGCCAGGGACTGAACTCCCACTGCAGAGGCTGTGGACAGCTTCACAGCACTGTGCTCAACTGCCTGCGCCACCAGAGGAATGCCTATTTCCATATATTTTTCTCAGCACAGATACAGGTAGAATGACAAACACATAGAAATGCTTAAAACAATGGGGGAAACCTACAGGTGTTATTTTAATGACAGTTAATTTTACAGGATGTTAGCAAAAGAAAACGAAACCCTCAAATTTCAAATAGAAATTTGAGAACTCACTAAAATTTACTGAAGTTATTATGAATAACATGAAAAGATAGTGGTCATTATTTTGAATTCTATATTTCAAATTTAGCTCAAGAAAGCTACCAGTCGCCTAAGAAAAGCTAGAATGTTATCTCTCCCATTTTCCCCTACATCTCTAAATTTTTGTTGTTCTTTTATTATTTTTATTACGTGTTGTGTAGAAAAGGGAGAGTTAATTGGAAAGATCTGGGTTGCTCAATCTCCACATATTCTCACAAAGGGCCTTATTTTTTTGCCTGCCCCTTCACCAGCTCCTGGGACTTGAGTTCCTGGAAAATGCTGACTGATACGAGTATTTGACATGCTAAAGTTCTCGAGCTACACTGCATAGTTTGTCTAGACAGTTTATTCAAACAATATACTTTTCCAACAAGCAACACCTCTTTACCCTCTGGGGTACTGGACCATCAGTGATTCGTATCAGTCACATGGGTGCTGTGAGCCTATGTGACTGACCCCTGAACAAGATCCCTGGAGGCCAGGTTCAGGAGAGCTTTTTTGGTTGGCCAAATTCTGCTGTTTTCTCACATCCTCACTGGAGAGACTACTTTATCTAGCTCTCCTGGGAGAGAACTCTGGAAGCTTGTGCCTGGTTTCCTGCAGACTTCACCCCACATGCTTTGTCCCTTTCCTGATTTTACTCTGAACCTTTTATTGTAATAGCCCATAACCATAACTATAACAGCTTCTAGGTCTTGTGAGTCCTACCAGAGAATTATCCAGATGGAGGGTGGTTCTGGAAATCTCTACCAGCCAGGTATATACATTGTTCTAGAGTCAAAATGTACACAATCATCATGTGCTTGTTGTGTAATTAAATATTGTCACTGTTTTCACCAAGTTTCTTTAAATCAGAGTTTCTCATTTCTGACTAATTTTTGTTCATCTTGTAAATATTTGTTGGCTCATTTATTGACTCAAAAGCCCGAAGCACAACCCTTCAATACTGACTGAACAATAAATACAACAATCCAGGGTACACTCTGAGGAAACCAGGTTTAGAATCAAAATCATGTCTATCCTTGTCTTCTGGGAAGCTGAGCATATTCCCAAGGCTGCACTGCTCAGGAGCAACTCCCAGGTACAGGTCCCTGACTAAACATAAAGCAGGACCTCAGCCCCTGAACTGTGAAGGTATCTCCAAGTCATGCACTTCCAACAGATAACGTGTGAAAATTGACTGACGAGGGCAACGTAAGTGTAATATTTGACCAACAAGTGGCTTATACTGACACAGAGGCAATACCTAAGAAGTCAGGCTAAAAGCTAAAACAAAAAAAAAAAATACTGGAGAAGGGTCATCAGAACCTTCTCACTACTAGGAAAATGTGTCATGGAATTATCCTTTAAACAAACAAATAAATGAGCTGTGCTGTATAATTTGTCTAGACAGTTTATTCAAACATAGAGTTTTGTCCCAGGTGAGCAGATCAGATGCAGTCTCTCCAGTGAGGATGTGTGCCAACACAGCAGAGTGTGTCCACCAAGATGGTCTCCTGGGCCTGTCCTCCAGGGATCTCATTCAGGGGTCAGTCACATAGGCTCACAGCACCTGTGTGACTGATATGAATTACTGGTGGTCCAATCCCCAGAGAGTAAAGCAAGCTATAAGAATAGCACTGGTGGGGGGTGGTGGTGGGGGTGGTGGTGATGTGAGTAATATCCAGATTTGCTACAATCTGTTGTGGAAAATGTCCAGTTTCAACCAAAAAATTGTGAAACATGCAAAAGAAAAGTATAACCCAAGCCCAGGAGTAAATCCAGGCAATAGAAACTGCCTCTGGGGGGGCCCATATGTTGGATGCCACAGACCAAGGCTACATGGAAGCTATTATAAATATGTTCAAAGAATTATGGGAAATCATGCATAAATAATTAAGGAAAAATTGAAATAACTATTCATTAAATAGAGAAGATTAATACAGAGATTAAAATTATATATAAATTTATTTTTTTGTTTTTACTTTCCAACTGCAAAATTATACATATATGTATGAGATACATTATGTGTATGCAGTTTTGGAGTTGAATACCATAATCTAAGAAATTAAAAAAAATACTTACTAGATGGATTTAACAATAGATTTGAGTTGGCAGAAGAAAGAACCAGTGACTGGGCAGATCAATAGAGATTCTACAATCTGAATAGAAGAAAAAAACTGTTGAAGGTAAATGAACAGAGAAATGTGGGACATCATTTAATATACCGATGTAGTAAGATGGGAGCACTGGGAAGAAAGGAGAGAGAAAAGGACAGAAAAATGTTGAAAGAACACCTGAATATTTCCTAGCTTGGATGAAAAATACTTATCTACACATCAAAGAAGCTCAACAAACTCTAAGCAGGATGAATGCAGAGAGATTCACGCCCAAATTCATTCTAATAAAACTAGTGAGAGCCAAAGACAAAGAGGAAATCTTGAAAGCAGCAAGATAAATGACTCATCAGGTCCAAGGACAACACTGTTAGATGGACTGGTGATGTCTCTTCAGGAACAACAGTGACCAAAGATTGAGAGAGTATTCAAGGCGCTGAAAGAAATTTATCAACCAGTAGTCCTGTACCCAAGCTATCTTTCAAAAATGAAGACGATATGAAGACATTTTCAAATAAACAAAAAACACAGAATTCATTGCCTTAGAAGAACCACTAAAAGATATTCTTTAGGCTGCAAGGAAGGGATACCAGGCAGTGATTTCAATCTACATGTAATTATCTACAGAGGTAATTATGTAGGCAATGCTAAAAGACAGCATAATTACATAGTTCTTCTTTTTTCTCCTTGTAACATTTTAAAAGCAAATTGCATAAAACAATATCTATAAAGTTGTATTGTTGGGCCTCTAACATATAGAATTGTAATCTCTTTGACAATAAAACATGATTGAATGAAGCTACATTGGTGAAAGCAAATGACAGCAGATGGTATCTTGAATCTGCAAGAAGAAATGCACAGAGACAGAGATGGTAAATAATAAGCTTAAATAAAATAAACTCCATAAAGGTATTTAAGTGCTCCTTTCTTATATTGACTTCTTTAAAAGGCATGTTTTTATAAAGCAGTAATTACAATGTATTGGTGGGCCTATAACAGAGACACAATGTGAAAAACAATGATAGCACAAAAATGAGGAGACACAGAGAGTAAAGAGTAAAGTTTGTTGTCTCCTCCTGAGATAAATACAAAGTAGATTCTGATGAATTATGGTGAATATTATAAGCCTGAGATTAATCACTAAGAATAGAATTCAACCTATGGTAATTCAACATATATAGTTAAGAATTGTTAAAGTAATTAAAATATTATTCTAGAAGAAGGTCATTTGGACAAGAGGAGGGAGTAAATGATGCAAAGAGCAATCAAAGAAGAGGGCTATGTAAGTTCCACTATGTGGACATCCGTGATATGAAATCTCAGCACTCAATAATCTAATGGATATTAGGTCAGACCTTCTCTTGTTTAGACACACTTTCCCCCTGGAGTGAGTATTCTATTCACAGTACTCCCTGCATTTAAAATCTTTTCAGCAAACTAATAGGAATCCTGGAACAGATTTTGTTTCTGCTGATCCTTATATTAAATTTTCTGCTTCATCACCCTTCCCTTAAAAAATTAGGTTAATAATAGAGAACACTCCAGAGACACAGAGAGAGGTAGTCATTGAGATACATTATTCTGTACCATTAACTGTTAACTACATACTCATCTGATAGCCTCTGAATCTAACAATATTGACATAAAGATGGGTCATATAGAATATATTCTGGCCCTATGCATGTCCAGCGGCATATAAGTGGCTACTAAATCTGTAATATATTCAAGTTGAATGCATCAACAACCATAACATGGTTCACCAAAAACCCTTGCATGTCTTAAAAAGGAAAGTGTGTGTGTGGTGTGTATGGGTACATAGTAATAATTAATGATGTTCATAAATAACAAACATGCAGCATTATGTGTCTACAACAATATGTAGAAATACATACACAAAGCAAACACACGTATACATAAGACCACAATGTTACCATGAAACACTGTATATTTTCATTGGGTTCTTAAAAGCATTCATGTGCTCCTGGCATAGTTCTCTGATAATTTGGTGAGAATCAGATTGCCTGCATCCAGTTCCCAGCTCTGTTATTTATTAGCCATGTGACCCTCTCTCTATAAATAATAATAATAATATTGTCTTCTTCCTGGTGTTCTTGTAAGTATCAACTATATTCTTAGTGCATGTAACGTCCTGGAAAGCACCACACAAATAAAAGTGCTCAATAAATTTTTGCTATCATTATGGATCCTTTGATTCTGTTCTTCCAGGAGGTAAAATAGTTTCTTTCACATCTGGAGCATGAGTTGAATTTAGATTATGCTTCCTATCTGAGAACATATCTTTGTAATATGCCTTTTATTGGGATGGTATCTGCAGCTGTCACACCTCTGTCTGTGATTCTTTTAGAGTTTGCAAGTTGTCATGTATGCCTGTTAACATGTCCTGTGTATTACCTGGGTGGTGATTGCTTCCCAAGAATCAGCAAGTGTATTTATATTGTTTTTCATGGACCTGTAGAATATTATGTATGATGACTGCACAGGTGATGTATTTTGAAAACCTTCTACGTGTTCCGCCTGGTCTCTCCCTGTTCCAATTCCTTTTAGACATGAGGGCAGAAAATGCTTATCTCTTTTGTTCACTCTTCTGTCTTGAACACGTAGAAGAGTACAAGGTACACAGTTACACAAGAGAGTGCATCATAGTACCAAGTGATCAAAAAACACTTGGTTACTTCCCACCACCTCCCAAAGTGCAGACTGTATTCCAGGCTCAAACTATCCTTATTCAACTACTTCTCAAAGCATGCTTCTGTTAAGTGGAATAGTTTGTTATTGTATGAACATCACCCATCTTTCTTCTGTGTGTATAGAGAAGCTATTTTATCTACCTGCCACATCTGACGCCAGCACGTCTTCATTCAAACCCCACCTACCCACCAAGACCAGCTCAGACTCTACCCCATCTAGTAAACTCACCTGCATGCCCCAGCCTCTCTTATGAGTGTCACTGGCTTTGTTGATACATATTTCATATGTTGTGTAGTGATTTTATACTAATATAAGTATTTGTTGATCCTAACGACCCCCTCTCCTCTTCTTGCAGAGGCGTCCATCTTGAGCTATGACGGCAGCATGTACATGAAGATCGTCATGCCCATGGTCATGCACACGGAAGCAGAGGACGTGTCCTTCCGCTTCATGTCCCAGCGAGCCTACGGGCTGTTGGTGGCCACTACCTCCAGGGACTCTGCCGACACCCTGCGCTTGGAGCTGGATGGGGGTCGCGTCAAGCTCATGGTTAACTTAGGTATCGTATGAAGTAACCTCTGCCACTCTGTTTGGGCTTGTCTTCCCTTTCTTTTCTGATTTTCATTGGTTTGATTGAATTCTTTGTTTGTTTCTGGAAAGTCAGCTTCTCACCTCTTGTTTAATAGACCAGGGATAAAACCCGACAGCAACAAACACCTTCTCCTTGTTTCTGCATGAGGTTTTGATGTCAATTTCTGGTTTCTGACAGTGGTGGTTTATTTACTAGATTATTTGTTTTCTAAGTTTCCTTTCTTGGTATTTTGGAACCGTTTAGCTTTGTGTAAAACATGCTACTTTGGTCCATCTTTTGATAAATCACATTCCCATTAAGTTCAACTCCTTGGTCACCACTCAAAACAGTCAAAGCTGCGGGCAGGGACAGGGTAGGGTAGGGAGACAAAGTAGGAGGGTGGGCTGGAGACACTCAAGCTTTGGGACTGATATGAGGAATCATTGTTTTTAGCCCCACAGTGGCTATTCAGAAGGGAACTTTGGGTGGCCTGGATGACACTGCATCTCCTTATACTTTTCCCTAGTGAGGAAAATAAGTCAGATTGTTTCTACTGTCCCACTGAAGATATATCCTAAGTTTAGTTTTCTGACATGTGAAAGGAAAACACGGCTCCTGATGGGTGTCTCCACCTTCCTTCCTATCATTCAGCAGACTTCTTATGAAGATTGTTATGTCTTACTGTTACCTGTTACTCTGTCCTCCTCATAATATATCCCGATTTTTTCTTATATTGAAAAGTTATGACCATTTCAAATTTGTAGCTTTCTTGGGAGAGAACCTGTTCTTTCACTGTAATTATAAATAACAGATACTTTAGACATTCTCCTCTGTATGGCCTCACATTGTCTCCTGCTGCTGACACTCTTGTCTGGATTCTAATTGGTGGTCTACAGCTAATGAGGACTCTCTTGATTTTTTGAATTAAAAGAAGAAAACCCTCCATTTCTGCTGATTCTACTCAGTAGAAAGTCAGTGCCCTATGTTGACAGGATAAGTGATATAGCTAAAGTTAAACTTTTTTGAAGCCTATGAGTTTGTTTAGGTATGTAGAAATGTTTGGATGCAGAGTCCCTATATAAAATCACAGTGGAATAGCTTGTCAGAGGCATGAAGAAGACTTGATGGACAAATATACGAGATGCATAAAACCCTGGATGACCTGGTGGGGGAAGGTAGGGCTTTGAATCCATACCAGAATGATTTGTGATCAGGTCAAATGGCTGCACTTGGGAAATGCCTACATTTGCATCCTAAAAATCTCTAGGACACAGAGGACTGTTTTGAGCAGTGACTGGTTTAGTTACATCTTTTCTTTTCTTCCAATATGCAGCTTTTAAAAAACATGCTCGTTTACTTGCCCAACCTCATTTGATTTCTGTTGTCAGTGTGTCTCTTGGTTTTTCTTTTCTCTGTGTACATGTGTATTTGGTTATTTTGGGTTTTGTTGTTCTCTTTTGCTGGATCTTTGTGTTCTTGAGTTTCCAATTCTCCCCACCATCACCCATGGTAAATCAAAAGATGGTATTCAACCCTTCAAAGGCCCAAAGCCTGCGGCCCGCATAGCAAACAGCCTTGAGAACAGAGTGTACTGAGCAGCCTGCAGGGACCGGCATACCCCTGTCCCTCTCGCCTTCCCCTCCCCACACCACCCTTCCCACCTCAAACCAACAAAAGGGCAAGTTACCTAAAACCAATCACCAGTGGTTGGTTGTTTAATTCTCTGAAAAACAGCGGGAAAAAAATTCCTAAAAATAAAACAGAAAACCCCAAAGCTATTGTCTAGGTCATAGAAAAAGAAAAAGATGATTTTTAACTCTGCATCTATTTCAAATTTAGAGTCACAGCTATCAGACTGATTCAGCCCCATGGGGTTCTGAGGAAATGTGCCCCATCTTAAAAAAACAATTGTTTTTTTTTTTTTTTCTTCTATGGATGTTTTTTTGTAAAGATTAGAAAGCCAGCTGTGACAGATCTCACATCCTAGAAAGAGAAATGGAAGGTGGAATGAGATAAAAGGGGATGAGGAGAGAGATGGACAGATATTTTCCTCTCTCTCTCTCTCTCTCTCTCTCTTTCTACACACACACACAGATACACACAGAGTTAGTCATAGACCCCATGTATATTCCTGTAAGCCTAAATTCTCCCAAGTTGAGACATCTTAGGCAAATAAAAATGAAGTCCTCCTTCTTCTCCAGAAGCATTAGTGGCTTTTTTTTCCCCCTGGAGGTAGGAGGCACCACAGTTACTAGTTTGAATTTATTTAATTTTCCTTCAAACTTAACACAGAAAACTAGAAAATTGAACTTAAATTTCTTATGCTTGTGTAGACACAATACTTCAGAACTTCACATTAAGGCTCTGCTGGAAGTTTCTCCTTCCACCCCTCCTCAGGACATATCCCTTCATAAGTTTCTTTCTTCTTGCCATAGTTCATATTTTGCTTTTCCTGGTCGTAGAAGAAAAGCCTCCACATAGAGTTTGCATTCAAATTCAGTCCCCGAGAACTATCAACAATTGCAAATGATCATTTTGTCCCCGGACTCCAGCTCAGTTGCATCTATTTTCTAGCCAAGTCACAAATGCTACTCCAATTTATTTCAAATTTATCACACATGTAAGTTCATGGTATAAAAGCCTCATATATATTTTTGCTATAGAATACAACTAAGTGTCAAGGAGACTAGACTTCTCCCAGAGGCTTGTTCTATGAAGACAACCCCTATGAGGGTGGCAGTCACGAGTAATGTCTTGGAACACGCAACACATTTCTAAAAGTTGTGAGGTTGGCTATTGATCAGTCATATTTTGATCACTTAAAATTATAAGATCTAATAATATTTTATATTACATTTAACGTGTTACAAAAATAATCTTACTTTAATCTCACAGTAATTTTGTAAGATCAATCAAAAGAGCACTTTTATGCTTACTTTCACAGAAGTGAAACAAAGACAGACATAAATGACTTGTCAATGCTTTTAGAAGTAGTTGGTAGCAGGCAGAGCTGGGACTAGAAATCGAGCTTGTAAACTGCTAGATCAGCGTGGCGGATCTGTTCCCGCCACAGCTCGATATTATGCCCCAGCGATGGGGCAGGCTTAATGACTTCTAACTGCTCTCACGACGGTCACCTTTTAAACATGCACAGAGGGAATCTCCTTTTTACTTAGTGCCCAGTGTGAATTGAGCCACACAGCAGAAGTCAGTCGATATCGTTACGGCTTGATGCATGTGTGGCCTTTACAATCCTCAGCAGAGTGCTGGGGACTCTTCTTCAATGGTGGCAGCTCGGAGGGAGTGTCATGCAGTTTAGTTAATGGCACTCCCATTCTGGAGGTAATTTCTCTCTGGAAACATGGCTTCACCGACATCATTTACAAGATGCATAGCTGAAGCTACACAACTCCTAGAAACATCCATCTCTTCCCTGCTTAGCCTAAATTTCATCAATATGGGAAATAATAAATTCTTCTCATTTTAATGAGAAGGTAATTTTTTTTTAAAAATGAGCAACACATATACACAAAAGCTCTTCTCAAACACTATGGTAATGCTCAGGCAGAAAACCTCGGCTGTTACTGTAGTCAAAGAAAATTCCCTTCAAAGCCAGTTGTCTTGATTCATTTTTCATTAGAAAATTCATCCTCATATCAAGACACCCTCTCAGAGTCTGTGAACAAGAGTCTGGGGTAGATTTTTCTCCTCATAGTCCTTTTCAGGTAACCGTACAAAATATTTACTTCTTGACTTAAAACAACCATTTGTTATCGTGAAAGCTGTGTCCTCACCTGGGCTTAAAGACACGCTCAGTTCATGGAACCATTTGGGTGGACCCAGAAGGACAGGCCCACCAACACCTCTCACTAGCCCTGGTCCTTGGAGAATAAGAGCCTCAGCAGCACAGAAACCAAGGAAGAGAACCACTCCTATTGTTCTTGGCGTGTTACTTAGGCCCTCTCTTTCTTGTGCCCTCTCTCTGAAGCTGGCCCTTACAGGCTGTTCCCTCTCTTGAAGAAGGGGTGTTCTCCAGCTACGGGTGATGGTAGGTGTGCCCCCTAGTGGAGGCCCCACCCTGCTCCCTCCTGCCCTGCCCTTCCCAGTCCTACCAGGGGCTTGGCCTCCTCTGTCTGGTGATCGTACCACTTGCTCCAGGGCTGTTTGCTCCCACTTTTCTGTTGCGGTTGACGACACATGACAAACCTAACCGCACGAAACCAAACCCAGATTTTTCTCAAGAGATGTTCTTCTGGGGAACAAATAAGGCTCCCTCCTCCTTCCTCAGAATGACTGGGCGTCATAAATTGCTCCTCTCTGATGTCACACAGCTTCATTCTGCCCTGTGGTTTGCACTGTTTCTCTGTTCACTTACTTGCTTAAAATTGCTTACTCTGGGAAGTTCACATAGTGGCATTATTCTCTCCAAGTCCTCTCCAAGACTGTTGGGTCAACCTGAGGCAGAAGAAAAACAGTTTCGAGCTGTATTTTTCTCTGTTAACATTCCTCCTTTTCTTTACCATTTTGCCTCTACCTTTTAATATCTGACTGACAGCAAATTCTTTTTGGAATTTCCATTGTTGTAAACTGACCTTAGGTTCAACTGGGCAGCTCCGTAACAGTGAACTGGAGACATTTCTCCAGCTGTTTCTGCCCGACTCCTCACACTCACTGTCTCCTCTCAACACCTGGTGTGCTGTGTGTCCTGACTTCAAACAGGAATTCATGACAGACCTGTTACACTGACCTCTGGCACAGAATACCTTGCCTGGTTACCAGGACCAGAAGATGAGTTTCCCTTTCTTCTGATGCCTTCTCACTTAAAAAAATAAAAGCAAAGAAGGTTCCCATCTCAGGCTGCAGAATCCCAAAGTGAAATAGGGAGGAAATCAAAGGTGCCGGAGACCTCCTACCCACCTACCTGTCTCGTCTTCTCCTTGAATGTTGCAGGCACTTGATTCCGCCTGAGCATTCCGGCCGGAAGACAGAGATGGGTTTGTGAGTGGTTGGTCTGGGGGCCTTTGAAACAACAGCAGAGACCCAACCGATTGTGACAGCGTCTGTAACTCCTACCCCCCACATCTGACCCCACCTCTCTAAAATCTGGGATGGGTGTTTGTGCGGTTAGCTGTTTGCAAGTGGCCATTTTATGACAGGACATGACCAGGTGGTATTAACCCTTTCCTTACCTCTGAGGGTGATGGCAAATCTGCCTACACAAATTTCTATAGCGCTTGGGGCCTGACATCAGGTGAGGGAGGAAGGGGTTTGTTTTTAGAAAAAGAGAAAGGGTTAAATACTGCACTGAGAAACTTCATGGACAGATTTTTTAAAAACATGATACAATGTGTCAGACTGGTGATATATTTTTGGAATACTAATACAAAAAATGTGTTGGTGCTTTGAAAGATAAATTTAAAGAAAATCAATTTTCAGGGGAAGCAAACTCTAACCTGCATTGGGTGGGGGAATTTTTGCCTAATTTTCCAAGTTTAACAAAATTAATATTTTCAAAATCCAGGTTTGGATACTTTATGAATAGGGTTTTTTTGGGGGAAAAAGCATACTCGGTGTCTATTGTGGATATATATGTATACCAGTATATATCTCTATACATATGTGTATATATATGTGTGTGTGTGTATATATATATGTATCCAACTTTACTAAATAATATACTGTACATATACACCCACCCTTAAACTTGTGCATACTGTATATATATAAAATGGCCACATTTCTTGCGTGTGTCTGTCCCCGGAAGGGTGGACTGATTGTTTTTGGATGTCTGCAGCTGTTACCTTGAAGGATGCAATTTCATCTTTCATTTATTTTTCCCCATCTAGACTGTATCAGGATAAACTGTAACTCCAGTAAGTTTTCCCTCAAGTTTCATTTTGTTCTTAAAAAAAAGAAAAGAAAAACTGACTTTATTTTGTTTACTGTTTTATGAGCTGTTTTTTATTTGAATTATTTTATTTTTTGATTATGGAGATGCGGGGGGAGTTGGGGTTGGCCAGATGCTGGGCTGGGGTGTTGGTACAGGGCTGAGTGTGGCCCAGATGTGGTTACTGAATCAGGGAAGATCCTCTCTCCTCTCCTGGCATTTATTCTCTATACAGAGGAGGAAAGGCCACCTGGAGAATGAAATGGCTTGAAAATGAGTTGAAATGGTAATTTGTTGTTTTGGGGAGCTAAACAGGCAAAATGTGTTAGAACAACTGGAATGCACTTCTCCACTATGAAAAGCTTCAGAAAATAAAAGCAAAGTTCATAACCCAGAAGGTGGCTGCCAGCTCTGACAGTTCTTCCCTGGCCTTGTCTCTGTAGGTTTCTGGGTTTTGGTTTTGGTTTTTAGGCAGGTGGGCACAGCATGCTCGTGGTGACAATCCAACATTTTAACCAAAGACATGAGACACATTCTGGCACTTCTCAGGAAATTCAACCTTCTCTTCAACTTACCCCATCAAATATTCCCGGTCTTGAAGAAGGTTCTTGATAAGGGGCAAACTGTGTGCGACTCGCGCATTTCTTCCTCTAGCTCAGAAATATTGTTATCTGGTGTCAATGAGATAGGCAAATAGGAAGGGACAGGATGGTCTGATGGAAAAGTAAAAGGCCTAGCTGATAAAAGGAAGAAATAGGCTCTGAGTCCTATAGCAAGCATATTCTATTAACTAAGATAATTAAATAATTAGGGTAATTATGGGGATTGCTATCATGGAAATTTCAATGGCTCAACAAAGGAAAGGTTTATTTCTGGTTTTGGCAAAGTCCAGTGTCTACTTGGCAGTTCTCCTGGTCATCTCTCTTCAAAGAAGGCATTCATCTAGATTCTTCCATGTGCTTACCCACCACTTTGGACTTCTTGACTTCCAGCTGTGACTGTGTGTAAGAGAGGGAGCTCGGAGGTTAGGCAGCATGTCTTATTGCCTTGTCTGTAAGTGACATGCATCACTTGTGCCCATTTTTATTTGTCAGATATGATTGTCCTAAATGCAAAGGAAGCTGGAAAATATAAACCTATTTTAGTCTTTCTGTGAACTAGGGCATAACCGAATTTGCTGAGCTTCCAGCCCGCAGTCCTCATATTTTGTTGTTGTTTTTTTTTTTCCCCCCTTGCAAGAGACTGGCTGTAGCAACAAAGTCAGAAAAGGAAATAAAGCAAATTGTATATTTATTTACTTGTTTTGTCCATCATATTAAACATTTTGCAGGAGCCGGTTGATTTACCTTCTTTTGGGAGAGATGTAAAATCAGGATGACAGAGTAAAAAAGCCCAAATACACTTTTCTTGGGCAAATATCCATATAAATGAGTAACAACAAAAGGAAGAAATGTAAAAAAATACCGTATAACTACTTCCTAAAGTGGAGTGCTTTATGCTTGTCTTGGTGTCACTTTCAGTTAATTTAAGCAATGTCCTGTATTGCTGTGTTTAAATATTTCTAATTAGCCAGACATTTCTCAGGAAATTTAGATCATTAAAAGCCTAATTGAAACATCCTTTTTTTCTACAAAGCCAATAGTTTTCTCTTTATTTAGGTAACTTGATTGAGGTATAATTTCTATACCACAAAATTCATCCATTGCAAGTCTACAATTCATTGGTTTTATTAAATTTATAGAGAGAACTACATGTTGCCACATTTACATTTTAGAACCTTCAATTCCCCCCTCAGAGTTCCCTTATTTCCATTTACAGTTAATCCCTGCTGCTCCCCGGAACCTTAGACAAGTACTGATCTTCTTTGTCTCTATACATTTGCTTTTCTCTGAAAATGTCCTATAAGTGGAATTACATAATATGTAACCATTTGTGCCTGGCTTTTTTAATAGAAATTTCATAGCATATCTATGGAAAGCTTTTTCTTTTCCTTTTGCATTAGTTTCCAGAAGGTAATAATATGGACCCTAAGCATGAAACCTCATCAAAATCGAATCTAGTACAATCTGATACCTTGCCTTTTATGAGTTAGTTTATCTAGCATCTTCTGACTTCAGGGACTTGTTTAGAGAACAGAGAACTAAAGTTCTATGAGAGGGATATCAGGACTTGCTTTGGCTATTCTACTCATACTTTATCCTGGAATTAATTCCATATATTCAAATTATTTCCATATATTTCCTCTTACCACCTTTGAATAGTCATTAGAAGACACCAGAATTCTTTCTCCTGAAAGACAGTATTTCTTCCCCAGAACACAGATGCCAGCAGGTTTTCTAAAGCCTATAAAAAACCTTCTTTTCAGAGACAAAGCTGCATTGGGAGAAATTCTGTTAGCAAAGATGTGCTCCTGGATTGATCACAGAATAGATAGGTACACCTGGTTTTAATGCAATATTTAGGTAAAGAGCCAAGATTAGATTTTGGATATCAATTTTGAATTCTCATGATGAACCTTCATCATCCTAGGAAGTTATTTTAGTGGCAGCTTTTGGACAAAGAATATACAGTGTACACTGGTAGTCCACAGTTGAATAGAAAGTTCTTTTAAATTAATCTAAGACTTCAATGCTAGGTAGGCAGGTGTGTGCCCAGGTTCATGCAGAGTCACAAAATGAATGTGATACGTTTTCTGGAACTCAGTTTTAATTGTTGATTTGGAGTAAAAGCTTGAATTGAAAGCTAAGTGATATATTTTGTAGAAGAATGCAAATAAGCATAATCTTTAAGATTAAGACAGGGATTCAAAAACATTTCATTCTGATTGTCTTCTCTGTTCTGTCCAAGCCATTACTGACACTTGGGTGGAAAAGTCTGAGAAGACAAACAGTAGGAGGGAAACCAGGTCCATGTAAGTCAGTAGAACTTCTAAAGTCCTCTCCATATGGTCTCTATGGTTGAGTTCGTAGTTCAGCCTCTTAAAAAAATCTTATTATTTCTGTACTAGGCATGCAGAACCTTCCTTTTACTCAATTTTTCTCTGTGAGAGTACAAGGAACAAGATTGATTCGCAGCCTGATTTTGAGCAGGAGAGGGCTTTTCTTCTTGCCCCTCAGCCTTGTGACTGACAACCATTTTAATAGAAGTCAGAGAATGTAATTGCTCAAATTTCAAAACATGGCTTCTTTTTTCCCTTGAAGGGACATAGCAAAGTAAGCTTCCATCAAGTTTGGATATAAGTTCATGAACGTCTCTAGTAATTCTTTTTTTCAGGATGCCTGTCTGAAATCAGCCAGGTAAAATCCTAGAGGACATTCTCTGCTTGTTTTTCTTGCTCATCTGCTGTAAAATATTGTTTATTCTGGGACATGACCATTTTCCAGGGTGTGTGTGATATTCTTTGTAATGGATAGAAGAACATAAAGAAGGATGATCTTCTAGCAGAAAGAGAAAGTGACTGGCCATACCAGAGGGCAGTGATCTTGAGACCCGGCCTCCTTCCTCTGGCCTTGTTGGCTGGTTCTTCTAGCAGTGATCACAGCTCTACTCTGTGTGAAGGATTCCAAGAAGCAGAAATAATTTTCTAATCAGCCTTTCTTACCCTCTCTTTTGGATATTTTGTCTTTTCCTGTAATTTCTATGATAGGCATTTTTATCATTAATTCCCTTGCTTTCCAAATCCTCCAAGAGCACCATAAGATCAATTCTTTTATCACCAAACATTTATTAGAGAGTGTGGAAATCAAGGTCTTTGGTTGAAATGGGGATCATGCTGAATTTGATTCACTTTCAGCTGGCAGGAATAATAAAAACATGAAATAAGGCTAGTTCCAGCCTGGAACTTCCTTTTAAATTGCAAAGAGCAACAGAGTTGGCATTCATCATGGTGAATGGTGCTCCAGGGTGAACTGGAGCATGGCTAGAGAAAACAGATGTGTTTTCTGGAGAATTTCTGGGGGAAATCACTTGGGTTCCATGATGCTAGAGGACTTAAGTGGCATGGAGTTTTGAAAACAGGTATGAACCTCTTGTTGGTCTCACAGGTGTTCGCTCAAAAGAAAGTCTGTGGTTTGTCATCTCTCACCTGTCTGACTGTGATGCTTCTCTGTGATTTCCCAGCCCCACCTCCTTCTGTCCCTATAAGTCATGTGTAGTATGAATGGATGTTGTAGAATGATGTTAATGAGACACAGTATAGCATGAATGGTCGTAGTGAGCAT